TATATATATATATATGTATATATATATACACGTATGTGTGTACATACGTACACGCACGCACGCACACACATGTAACACACATGTAACACACATGTAACACACACACACACACACACACACACACACACACACACACACACGACGCACGCAACGTATCATCGCGAAGAACGTATTCATAATTGTGGTCAGTAATTACAAGAGCCTTGCTAAAAAATTCGACTTGAATCAAATTGAATTTGGATTGAATTCTTCGATTTAATCGAATCTCCAATCGTGGGAATTGCATCGAATTGCTGAACGATGTCAAAATCTGCAATGACATTTTATGCGAACAAAATTCCTCAGAGCGAATAGCTTCGAGAATCGGAACACATTTTGCAAAATGTGCGAGAATATCGTGCACATTTACATACGATATCCTCGAATAATTTTTTCGAATCCGTGAACAGCATGGCTGTCTTCGTGCAGAAATAGGCCAAAATTACCGTCTGGCAGAAATTTCTCGAACCGTATTTCGAAATCGAAGTGCCGATCATCCGTTTCAACGAAAACGTGCAAAATTTTGAGTAATCGAATTATAAACAAGTCCATAGACAGAACAATCAAGGAATACATCGTCGAAAGAGAGTAGCAGCATTTGTATGATCGGACAGATCTTTCTCGTAAATTTACGCTACTATGGTGCAACGAGAGAAGGAAAACGCCGAGCGAGAATATGCACGAGAAAAGTCAGCATTGTAGTATTACATCGAATAGTCACGTCGGCTTGCGCCAAAGTGCATCATCCTGATTGAGGTTATGTATTCAGGTAGTCGAGAATGGTGGAGAACGCGCTCACCCGCACGTCGTTACGTTACGTTACTCCCGACTCGTCCTTTTTCCCTCCCGCTTGTTCTCTCTCTCTCTCTCTCTCTTACTCTTTCGTTCCCCTCGCACGAACACTACGGCGACAGGCGAGCGCGTGCGAGTGTGCGTGCGAGCGAGCGAGCGAGCGAACGAATGAACAAGGGTCCGGAGGGAGCCGAGGGAACGAGCGAAGAGACCATACGTAGTGCGCGGCAGTGCGCGCGGAGCGCGGACCGCCGTTCGCCGTCATCCGTCGCATCTCCGTGGACTTTGTGAGGCGGAGAGAGGAACAGTACGGTTCATCTCGCGGCGCGACGCGGCGCGGCGCGACGGCGACGACGGCCGTGGCCGCGGCGACACTCATACACTCGCGGGGGCCGTCGCGGCCGCCACGCTTACGGGGACACATACACACGCACACGTACACGCGTGGCACATATACGCGCGCCATACACATACACGCTGTCACTCTAGCGGGCACTCTCGCGCACGTCACTGGTACAGGCAGCAACACGGCGCACGGGGGATCGAGAGTGGGCCGATAGCCGTTTGCGCGTACGGACACACGGAGACGGCGCGGTGCATCTCGCCGCGACACACCACACTCCGCCTTTACTTACATTGTATTCCTTGTCAAGGGATTTCAACAATTTTTCGGTCAGCTCGCTGCAAATTCTCTGCATCGGGGTATCGCGCATGGGGTCCCACCACCGGGGGGATGTATTGTATTAGAATTAGCGGAAAAATAGAGTCCAGGCTCCACGCGTAATATCAGAGAATCGGTCAGAGATGCGCGAGACACGAGGGAGACTCGCAATGGCGACTACCGAACTGTGCGCTCCACCGTCGTTCGCATGCCCTCCCTGCCTCCCGAGTGCCTCCTAGTCGCTGCCCATGCATCGTCCCTACCCCCACCTGCCGTCGTGCCGAAGCGCCACTAGCGACGCGAGTGGCCGCCCGAAGTTACCCGAATCCGCCCGAGCGTCCCTCTCCCTTCACCCCTCCGCGCCCGCGATAGTCGCCCGCCTTGCCCCGCTAACCCCGCTGATCCTACGCTCCTGTCGTCTCCCTCCCTCTTCCCCCTCTCCGTTGCCACTTTCGGCCGTGTTCGCCCGTCAGTTCGCACTCGGTGCCACTCCGTGCGCTTGGCGCTGCTCGACGGCTCGACGCAACGGCGCACCAACGGGTGGATCGCTTGATCGTGGCGTTATCATAGACCAGCGACGAATTCGAATAAATTGCATCGAGAATTTTTAAGCTCGTCACGCATCGCGCCACTCATCATATTTAGCATTAAATGTGACTGCGACCCGATCGTACATGCGCCCGTCGAAATTATTTTCATATCGAACTACGGAAAGGGATTTTATAGGCGTTAAATTCGATATACCGAAGTATATCGTGCGTAAATTCAGTTGTACGTATGCCCGCCGTATCTCTTGCGTGTTTTTAAAACATCAAAGGTAGTGACTCATCGTATTCGATATCAATAAGAAACTTGATCTTCCTCGAAATCGCGGCCCACCAGCGTTCACGCCGATGAACCGACCAATATACGGGGTAAGGCGTTCGAAATTGCCAGCCTAATTTACGTCGATATTTCTCTGTCCGGAAGAAACGGATCGAATATAGAAAAATCCCATCGTTTCCCATGCGTCTATATCCTGTTTGATATAACTCTTGTTTCCGAACGAAATTTTTCCGATGGAACTGTACAATTTGCATAAATCGATTTTTCCAGGCATTCCAAACGTACAGAAATGTTAAAACGGAGGATTAAATGCTTATCAAAACATTTCGTATTTTATTCCGAAGTGAAGCTCGCTTTCTCGATTATCATCTTTGATATTGCTTCTTGATATTTCTGTACGTGCAAATGTCATCTTGGAATAGCTTATATGATTATAGAATAAAATCACGTTGATACCGTAATGTATCCGGCTCTCACAGCGACTTTTACATGACCCATTTTTCTCGATAGATAATATTGGCGTAATCAAGGTGATAATTTCAAGCATCTCACCCTATATCCGAAGTTCTTCCTCTCCCATCTCCGTAACCATCTATTACGATGAAACTACATCGGGGTCATACATAGGCGTAGAAGTGTGGCTGCTGGACGATGTAAAATAGCAGATAGAAATCAACCGAATGAGATTCGGTTTAAATTCCTGGTTGTCTGTTATATCATTATTTCGATAGAAATTCTATCATTCCTCAATAGACAAAAGGGACTGTCGAATTAATGTCTAGGTAAATAGGTAACTGTATCGCTATATCGCATTGCTCGGAGAACGGAAATCCCCCGAATAACAGGAATGAGATAAAACGTGTAACTGTGGAAGTGTGGTATCGACGAGAGAGAGAGAGAGAGAGAGAGAGAGAGAGAGAGAGAGAGAGAGAGAGAGCGTGAGGAAGGAGTAGTCAGAGGGAGAGAGGAAGATAGAAAGAGGTCATGTGCATCATGGCATAGTAGAAAGAAATTATAGAAGCGAGCGGTAAATTCGCGAAAGCCTTTAAGATTTTAATAACGATTGATTATCCACGTGATGTAGTGAATTTGAATACATGTGCAAAATTCTCATCATAATTCATTGCAGTTCTGGATTTTTTATTTTACAATCGCGAGACCCGATTCGTGTGCTTTGTAAAGATATGTAATTGCGGCGTGTTCCGAAACCAATCGAGTAACATCTATCGTAATCTTTCATGGTCTTTTATTCGTGCTCAGAAAACATCCGGTAGATGGCAATAGATGAACGATGCGTTCCGAAAACGACTTATGCCCATTTTCATCCATTTCGTAGATTAATTTTATAGCATTTTCTCTCGGCTGTACTATCATCTACCAGTGCAACACTCAGACAAGGTAGCATGTTTTCTTGGCGGATGATAGACAAACTCATTCAGTGTAACGTGTTTCTGTGGCTAGTGTAATGCAAATTTTATGCACGAAGTAGGGTTTTGCTACACGATTGCAAAAAGGTGTAGAGCCAATGTGACATTGAAAATTTGAAAATGGAAGTCGACCAGCAATAGAAAACACGATAGCATGAAGTGTACTCCATGATATATGTACACTTGTGTAATGCATCACTGATGCAGCACTTACTTACGTAACTGGTATAGTGCGAGGTTATACTCAGTGTATCCCAAGAGAAAATGCTCTGAGTGTTGCACTGGTGGGCGATAGTGCAGCCAAGAGAAAACGCTATTTGTCTTTTTCTAATTTTTGAAATTAGAAAAAGACGAAGAGTAAGTTGAACCGAGATTAATCTACATTGATGGAAATGGACATTAATGAAGACTTTCAATCGCAATCTCGGCTCTGTCGGCAAAAGTGGGTACATTCAGTACTACAATAGCTGAGCGCTCAGTGAGCTCTTGCATCTGATTGACATATTTCGTTAAGTCTAAAAATATTGACCAAACAGATAAGAGCTCACTGAGCGTTCATAATACTGAGGATATGATCAATGCGATGTTGCGAACGCTTTGAAGCGTTTTTTAATTGGTCAGTTTATAAAATTCTTTCTTCTAATTGATCCATTAAACGCTTCAAAATATTTGTAGCGAGATTTTGATTGAATGTACCTAACAAATTTTGACTGAATGCACCTAACAATTTTTTTGACGGATTCAAGCTGATATTCATAATCCATCTTCATTTTAAAACCGTCTTAGTAATGTTTTAAACTGGGGATCGATCCTGTATCTTAAAACGAGATGAAAATTATAAAAGTGAGCGAATTTACTAGAATACTAATAATTTCATTGGTCAACATCTAGTAATTTGTTTGAAGATACAGAATCGACTCCCCTTTATATTAGCATTGTTCGTTTTGTTTCTCGAGAGCTGCTCGGGATTGCTCCGAATGAATCCAGTGTACTTGAAATGTAAAATTTACACTATGTTACATCATTCGTGTAACGACATTCATCGTAACAATGAATGTCAGGTGTCGTATGAAGCCGGAATCAGACTACGCATTGAAGAACAAGATTGAAGATTGAAAGACTGAAGTTTGACCAATCAGAACAAAGGAAGCCAAAATTTCTTTGTCCTCATTGATAAAATTTCAATCTTTAATTTCTAATCTCAATCTTCATGCATAGTCTAATTCTGGCCTTAGGACTATTGTAGAATATGTTCTAGGGTTTAAATCTCGATAAAAAAGAAGCAGCCAATCAGAATTCGCATTGGTAGTCGACAATTTCGACTTTCTACGGCTTCCAAAATTTACTGCCAATGCTGAAAATTTATTGTTTACTATACATTTTTAGCAGTGAATTTTAACACAACCTATACTGCTTATTACCAGCGCGAATTTTGATTGGCTGCTTTTTGTTTTTCTATCAAGGTTTGGACTCACCTTAAGAATTAACGAATATCAAGCAGCGATTTTGATCACCTGTTTTAATACTTTAAAATGAACGTTAACCCATAAATCCTTCCAAACAAGGAAAAACTCAACATAAAAAGGCCTTTATGGAGATGAAGGAAGCATTGCGCACAATAAGGTGAAGGTGAACAGATTTCAACCAACCAGACGCGACCGGCGTCGAAAGATCATGTTGATCAAGGTGGAATTACCATTATTCCATAAAATTTATTTATAGAATTACTATTTACCATTATTCGAGAAAACAGAATAACGTAATGAAATTAATTTTCATCAGCTGTTATGATTGACATTCGAACAAATGTCGTTTGAATAACATTTATCCAGCTGTTTTTTTCGCCGCTTGCGTCTAATTGTTTTATGTCCATTTCCACCAATATAGATTAATTTTAATCTCGGTTCAACTTACTCAACTTACTCATCTTTTTATAATCTTTAGAACTAGAAAAAGACGAAGAATAAGTTGAATCAAAATTAAAATTAAACCACAGTATAACCAGTAGAGACATTCAGCGAAAAAATGCGTGTTCGCGCAAGTATGAGTGCGCTTTTGTTTTGGGCTGAATGAAATGCAAGATGAAGAAAAGAAGAGTACGTAAGAACGTACATTTTATACAAATCTCAGTGAGTAGATATCCGTAAAAAAACAATTTAAGAGCTGCGGCA